CAAGTCCTTTGTGATCTAAAAGTTTATGTCTGAATATAACGACTATAATATGATCGTAAAAATATGAATCACAAAGTAACGGTTAAATTTGATCGAAAAATACAAAGGAATCCAATTTTTACTATCAATTTATGATTTTTATTATAATGATCATAACCGTTATGGTTCCTGAATGAAATCAAAGACATTTAAATAAAATTAAAAGAAAATGCAAAACAGAAAAAAAAAATAAATATTATTATTTAACAAAACAATAACAAAATATTATTATTTAATATTACTATAAATAATTATTTAATAATTAAAAAATAAAATAAAATTAAAAAAAAAAAACTTTTTAATATACAACACTTTTATAAATGGACTAAAAATTAGAAAATAATATTTCTCAGTCCCATAAAATTTGGTTTGATAACTTTTGATTTTGGAATTTTAGCAAAAGTCATTATAAACCATTTATCAGATTGAAAAAGAAAAACGTGAAGCGCATGCAACAGAAAGCATTAGATTTAATTGACAATAGTGAAACTACATAACATAGACCTAAAATTTCTACAGAGAAAGTACAAATTTGAAATCGATTTGAAGCGGTCGTTATTCATATATCCACATTCATACATATATTACCCATCATATCAATTCAGGTCTATTACATGCGACCCACGCTTTTCATTTTCAATCTCATAAATGGTTTATAATGACTTTTGCTAAAATTTCAAAATCAAAAGTTATCAAAATAAATTTTATGGGACTGAAATATGTTATTTTCTAATTTTTAGTCCATTTATAAAAGCGTTGTATATTAAAAAGTTTTTTTTTTTTATTTTATTTATTTTCTATTTTTTTAGTCTTGTCTGTATAAAATTTTGCAATAGATATTAAAATACTTCAACCTGCAATGAAAAGAGAACAGAAGACAATGCAATCAAAATGTTGTTTGCTCACGTTGAGTATAAACATACATACATATTAGAGGGCTGCATGAATTTACTCAAACTTTTAGCCAGACAGAGTACAGTAGATTTGAATATTTTATTTCACATGCAAAACACTCAGCGTTTGGAATTTTGTAAGTTATGAATATACATTTTGTTTTATATTTTCTACCTTCACATGGAAGAATGTGAATGAATGAATGGAAAACCTTCAAATCATTCAAACTCATTTCGGTAAAAGTTTTTTTTTACAAACAAGTTTTTTCGTATGTAATAGGAGCGCAGCAATACATACATACATACATATGTATGTTTGTACATATGTGCATAGAAAAAAATATTTTTGGATATTCATGCAAAAAATTGTCACTTATTTCAATTCAATTTATTTTCAGTTTGTTTGAATATTGTAATGTCGACACAAATATCAGAACAGCTATTCACTCAAATTCAAAAAAATTTGAAGTCAAAATCATTCATTCGTTTTGTATATGAATAATTCAAAAGCCGTTTTGAATGCATTCATGCAGCCCTCTAATACATATGTACATACATACATATAGCAACAGTTAATGTCATTTAAAGAAATGGCGTGTCGTTCATTTCCGCTGAGCGTATGTAAATAGTGGATATATTTAGGCCCAATATTTAACTTCTTCTGGCAGGGCGACATCTAGAGTCTCCTAATTGTATCTCTTTGATATGATGCCTACAACGAGGTTTTTATCTAGACTAGGTTGATAGAATTTGCCATAAATAGCTTTGCTATATTTATGGTATAACTGGAGGTCTTGACACAGAACATTCCAAGTTGATAAAAGCGTTGTAAAACGCTAAATTAAATTAAATGAAATAAATTAAATTAAAAAAAAAAATTAAATAAAACGAAGTCAATAACATAATTTAAATAGAAAAAAATAAAAATTTAACCACAAAATAAAGAAGATGGAACAAGCAAAAATTAAAACAAAATAAATTTCAAAAAAATGAACCACACAATTAAATATAATTAAATCAGGCACCGAACCGTGAATTATCAAGACTTTTTTGTTTTTAAATCATTGTAAAATCATTCTATTTTTGATCAAGAATAATCGTATATTTGGAATTTATTTTTTTCAGTCAAAAATAATCATTATGTGCTTATTCACAGTGCTTAGTTAAATCATCGTTAACTTAACCACAAACAAGGGTTTAATTATGAATTTATATTCAGAGTCACATATGTAGCTAATTATGGAAACTGATATCGCCTGAAAATATACAAATTCTAAAAATTAATATTTTTCCCTACCAATTTGAAATTCGTTCCACAACAAACAAAAATCACCAGAGCTTAATTAATTAGCTATTTAATTAATAATTTAATCGACCGTTATAAAAAAGACCGCGTTTTTATAAGAGATTTAAACCCTTTGTGATTTAAAAAAACTCTAAAAGTGACGGTATGATCAAAAAAATAAAAATCCAAAAAAAAAAACAGTTTTTCTTGATCGAATAAATAATAATAACAAAATTAAGTTTAAATTTGATGGAAAAATTAGAAATCGACTTTCAACGGTTAAATTATGATTTTTGTTACAAATATCATAACCGTTTTGGTCCCTAATAAACTTAATTTAAATAAAATTAAGTACGACAAAAACGTAAAATAAATTATGTTAAACAAAAAACCCATTTATATCATTAATACATTAAGTAAAATTTTTGGCAAATAAAATTAAGCTCGGGCAAATAAATTTAAATTTTGAGCAAACAAAATTAAAGTCTACTGTAGTACTAAACAGTGACTGAAAAACTGAAAAATACACTAAAAAAAAGCAAATAACAATTTTTCACACACTATTTAGTACTACAGTAGAGTTTAATTTTATTTGCTTAAAGATTAGTTTTATTTGCCAAACGTTTACCTTAATGTGTCAATGCTATAAATAAAACAAATTAAATGGGAAAAAAAAAAAAAATAATTCAATTGAATTGAATTATGTTTTTAATAAATCTTTCTCTTAATCTGCCTGTCAGGTATTAACAGCATTTTAACGCAGTATTAAATTTATTAGTATTGATGCTCAGATAGATTTGTTATATCTTTTTGTCTTTGAAAAAATAATTAATTGCAAATGAATAAATAAGTTTAGGTTTTAAGGCGAGTTTTGCAGCATCACTAGCTTGTTGTGAAAAAAAAAAACAAAAACTAGCAATATTAACATTTGATACTCTTTTAATAGGGTTTTATTTTGTACGAGTTTTTTGCATCTTCAAAGTATTCATTTACACGCTCTTTTGCACCATAATTTCCATTTGTTCTATGAATATTTTTTGTAATAAGAGTGAAATTGGTATCCGAACCTTTAGAATAGCGCTCAAAAAAAAATGTTCATTGATATCTGCAGAAACTGTTTGGTTTGTTTACACAAGATTTTTTGCAAGGTTTTATTTGAAATTAATTCTAGCCAACGATTTTTTCGAAAAAATATATTTTTACATCGTTTTTCAGGGTTTGCTTACTCCCTTACTAACCGTGTAAATAGAGTATTATGTGTCAGTGTACATTAGGGTGGTCCAAAAAAAAGTTAAGTCGGAATTTTTATGCTCTCACCCATTAGGATTGTTCTATACCGAAAAAACTTGACCCCTTTTTTTATTTTGAAATCAAAAAATATTTAGAGGTCGTTCAAAATTTTCCATGTATTTTAAATGTGGAAAAAACAAATTTTCGTGGAATTCTTGAAAGCCAATATTTCTCAATCGGTCCACCCTGGTTCACTTCAGGAGACTTGCAGTAATAATACCCAATTGTTTATTTAACCATTTTTTAACACTAACGAGTTTTTTTTTATTCGTACAAGCATTGGTTTTTTTTGGGTTTGGGGGGTTTTCGGCGGACCTATAAATTATAGTTACTATGGAATCTCTTACAGAGAAGCATAGTTTTGCGATGGAAAAATATTGATTTATAAGAATTCTATACCATTTCTACGTAAAGTATTTTTTCCCCATATAAAATACATAGACAAGCGCTTGAGCGCTTTGAGCGACCTCTAAATATTTTTTTAATTTGAAAATAAAAGTATAGGGGTAAACTTTTTTTCCGTATTTCTCATCCATTTTTGGACCTTCCTAGCGTACATACATGCATAGTTATCAATATTTAATTTTCACACTCAAATGCATTAAAATCAGTTTAAGTACTAATTATTGTAAATATACATACATATGTATGCATGTAAGTATTAATTGCGTAGTAATTATTTTGAATTGATTTTAAATATGGCGCCTGTAGCAACCAACATTAGTGTGTGTGGTTTTTACATTCACTTTGACTGAAAAAAGCAAGCTCACTAATAAAACTTTTTAGAAATTTGTAGATACAAAGCACATTTACAATTATTAAATAATTAATTAATTATTACATTTTGTCTGTTTAAAATTTAATAAGCTTATTGTTTTTTTTTTTGTGTTTCAATACAAGTACACTATGTATGCTAAAACTAAAGCTTGTGTCTCCCATATCTGCAGTAAAAAAACGCAATGCATATGGCAATAAATATACAAAAAGAGATATTCAAACTTTACTGCATCGAAACGGTGTGCTTTTGCACTTGCATTCGAACTTTTGTATTTAAGTTTGGCACACACTTTGCAGGGATTTTTCTTTCCGTCTTCTTGTTTCTCTTTTTTTTTCGAATCACCAAACTACCGGTGCATGCAACGTACAAATACTTATTTCTAATGTATGTATTAGCTGCCATAGAATGTCAGATTAGTTTGTCGTAGACACAATTAAATATTTGCGAACTGCATTAAATACACGATGTACATTTGGCAGGCATTCAAAAAACTTTTAACATACTTTTGTGCGACTAAGTAGGCCAAAACTTCAATACTGGCACTCTGCACACACATACACAAAAAAAAACATGATGTACACATGCACGCACCTATTTATGTATGTATGTACATGCATTGCTCTTCATTAAAGCGCAATCTAACTAGTACAATGCGATTTTTCAACACTGAAGACCTAAAAAAGATAAAATTTCCAAACAAGCTTTCATTGCATACTTTTCAGCGTTAATGCCAACTGCTCCAACGATTCTGAGGACCTCAATTGCGGCACACATTCCTTAATGCCGTTTACTTTCTTTTAATACTACGCAACGAAATGTATGTACTATGTGCTTCACTAGACGCACGCACACGCGCCAACAAACAAGACGCTCGTAAAATGCCGCGCACTACAGGCACGCACTTCTGTTTGTAATCTCATTTAAGCGCTGCCTAATGAAAGGCAATGCTTTAATTGCTACACACAACTTTAACGCCAACTGCCGGACGAAGCCAGCAAACAATGCAAAAAGGGCAAAAATTCACGCCAACTAGTTAACTGACTTGGACCTGCGAACGAACGTCCACTGTCCTTTTATTTGTTGTTTTTTGTATGCTTTTGTTTTTGTAGCAACTATTGTTGCGCCCGAAAGCCTGTCTGCTTGCACACACATGCACACTCACAGAACGAACACTTTGGTAGATGTCTGCTTACGCGTGCACTCGCATTGCTTTTTAACACACACACACGCAAGTGCAACGAGACGTTTTGCGACCGTACGTCAACGCAGACACGATAGAACTAAACGCAATGCGTACCAGCTATAGCACCTAAAAGTCGGCATCAAAACCATAATTTCCTTCGCTGTAATCAAAAGCAGACGAAATGTTCGTAGCACAAAAAAAAACGACGAACTATGAAACGAATGAATGTTGGGTGGCTGTGACATTTAACAGCGTACAGCATCCAAAATGATGCTGTATAGTTACATAGAATTTAGCAGAGAATGTTAGTTAAACAGCGGCAATAACTGGAGCACATTGTTGAGTTTCAAATGTTGACTGCGATCCAGTACGAGTCCGAAGTTATCATTTCTTACCACAATTTATTGGAAATCGATCTCCTAATCCAAAAACTAGTAAAAAAAATAGTAGCCAAAATGTTTCCATCGTTGCCCCCCGAAGGCTGGACAGTTCAGTAGAAAGTATTCATAGGATTCCACCTCATCTTCCTCTTGACAGCTGATACCTGCATCCTTTAAGATTCCTAGTCCTATGGCGTGAATACCAATCGGATAATGCTCTGTTAGAACCCACACCACCAGCGAGATCTGAGGCTTTGCAAGCAAGAGGAGCTGCTTTGATTGCCATGGGTCTACCCCAGGAAGGATCTGGCAATTGCGCATGTCCTAATGTTAGTCTAGCCCTCATCGAGCTCACACGAAACCAATAATGTATCCAGAAGAGCAGAGGAGTCCCTAGTTGCTCCGTTGATAACATTTTAAGGGAGCCTTTCCTTGCCAGATCATCAGCCACGCAATTTACCGCGATGTCACTAGGACCGGCACCCAAACAAGACTTATTGAATGGATTGATGGAGAGGACAGACATTTCCTTACAGATATCGAGCACACCAACCTAATTGTCGTCTCACTCTTTAGCAGTGGGTATACCGCTTATTTGATGTAGCTATTTCCGCATGAAAGGCACTGCAGAAGTCTGGAAGCCTGAACATATTTTTGTAGGTGAGTTCCTGACAGAAGACACCTTCACCAACCCTGCCTCCAAGTTTTGATTCGTCCGTGATGAAGTCTACCGCTCCCCTCTTGCAATAACCCCGCCCAAGTAGAGAAGCAGCTACTGGAAGCCATTTCGGAGGAGCAGTAATCTGTCTGTTCAAGGACGAATTCAAAGTCGTCCCTATTTTCAGTTCCTCCAGAAGGTTGTTTACAACCGAAATCCAGAGAAACGGAGAGAATATTACCTGGCGGAGTGTTCCTATTGACTTTATGCTGAGTGCAGGCGCTCCTCCACTCCGCCACGACATGCTTATGAAAAGACTTTACTATTGCCTATGGAATGACATTGTTCGATACCCGCCCAATATCGAGTAGAGCCCCTACTGCATAATATTTGTGAGTGAAAGCTTCTTCTATCCACTTTACTAATGTGTGCAGGGCGCTATCCACCGATCTTGCCTTACTATTACTTACAAAATAAGCAAAATGTTACAAGCAGAATTTATTTGGAGGTTGGGTTGAAGTCTGAAGGTAAGCCCAGATAAGACTGAGCTAGTTCTCTGTACTAAGCTTATATGAAAGGAAAGTATTGTGCATCCAGGCTGCAGCAAGCTGTTATTTTCCCAAAGGTGGAAATACTTAGCAGCTCTGGCAAAGTTCATGAACACCAGTGAGAAAGAATTAGTAATGAGTAATGTTATACTATCACAACCTATTGTTGGCTAGGAAAGGAACTGCTCTCCACACATTTCCACTTTTTCTTGGTGTTTTCATACGAATTGAATCACAAAACGGTCGGTATAGGAAGCTTTTTAATGGCAGTACAGTTACAAGTATCGACTCTACAAAAGTTTCGGAGAGATTTTCTAGACACTTACTGATATCGGATTTATTTAAAAATTCTGCAAAACTTATTTGGAACCAGCAGCCGGATTCCAACATTCGCTATCGCTAATTTTGATCACCAAACATCTCCAAAAGAATAGAAGATGCACCACATCTAGTTAGAAGCCCCTCATTCTGCAAGTTTTGGTTGATTACGCATCGCATCTGTTACTTTTCCATGTTGCATACTTTTAGATTCAGCAGCATATCAAAGTAAGCCTAGCTCTGTTATCCAAATAACATAGCTCCGCAGTTTAACAGTTCCAAACTAAATAAATTGTGGATCCCAATTCACAGCATGCTTTTAGGCGCTCATGGGTTACAAACTCTCATAAAATTACTCTCAATTACGCTGCTTACTGCGCGCTCATCTCACACACCCTTTCAGCGGTTAAACAGATTCAGCTGCTGCTTTTACATTGATATTCCTGCTGTTGCTGCGGCTGCTGCTGCTGAACGCCTTAAAGCATGCCACAAGTTATTGGCTACTTTACGCGTTAATACATAACAAACATTTATTAATTGCAGTAGCTCTTGCTTTCTTTGCAACGATTCTACGAAAGAATACATGTGTAGATACAAATATACATAAGTGCTCGGACTTAGGGAAGGTTTTATATATGGATCTGTGACTTCCGACGTTGGTCATATGAAGTCAAGCATTTCTTTTCCCAGCCACTTTTTAGATTTTGTACAAACCTTTCGTCTTTGCTTTTACTGCTCGCTTACTATGTGACTGGGTCAACTAAACACGTTTGGTATGACATCGCCGGGCTACAACATAAAATGCTACGATAGAGTTTAGCAACAATAGATATGTATATTGTATCGGATGTAGTAGAGGGCAATAACTCCGAGTGTGAACTTACACAGCTCATTGGGTTCTACGATAATATACGAATCAGAGAGATAGCACTTCGGTTGTGAGCCCAAAAATTTTGTGTAGCAAAATTTTTTATATTCATATAAGGTATAAGAATAAACTAGTGAACCCGCATGGCGTTAAAAAGCCCTAAAGTTTAATTCAGAAACTATTGCAAATATTAGTCAGCTCTATAAGTGAACCAAATGCCAAATTTCATCTAAATCCGTGCAGCCGTTTCCGAGTGAAGAGTGGTCTCGCATAGTGTCAGTCTTTAATATCATCAAATTCCAAATCACCCTGTACTGATAAAAAGTCTAACTATAAAAATTAGAATCCTATCGCACAGGTCTTTACTTCGACCTCACATATTTGAAACTCGAAAGAACGGTGCAAATCTACTGACCTTGACACTCATATTTTAATATTTCGTAAATCTTGGATAGAAATCCTTGTCAAACTAAAATCTTCTTACGTCTCTTTCGCCTCACATTATGATAAATATTTCAATTGAATTATGAATTAAGTTGAATATGATTTTTCAAAACACGTGGCAACCCTCCTAATTAAACGTCAGAAATAAAGCCTTTTAAAACCCATTTCGATTGATATCCATATTTTAGTAATCTTTCTAAGTAATTTGAATGTAACTTTTTAAACAGGTGGCAACCCCCTTCAAACATAAATGTTCAAACTAAAGATTTCTTAACACTCTTTCGTTAGACACTCGTATTTTAATATTTCATGTAATTGATATATATGTATGTAAGTTAATTAAATGCAACTTTTCAAACAGGTGGCAACCCTCCTCAACATATTTTCAAGCTAATACCTTCTTAAATAACCTTCGTCTGACATCGTGATACATATTCTACTAAACTGATGAATTAAGTTTAATGTTATTTTTTGAAAATGTGGCAACCCTCTAAATATAGTTCAGAAATATAAAGCCCATTTGGAGTGATACCAATGTTTAGGTAATTTATTAAACTTATTAAATAATTTGAATTAAATTTTTTTTAACGGCTGGCAACTCTCTTTAAACACCTCAAAATAACTTCTGTTACCTAATTCCCTTAATTGAAATTGAATTTAATTTTTTAAACAGGCGGCACACCTCTTACAGTAGTTAAGAAACAAAAGCTTTTTAAACCCATTTCGATTGATATTCATTTTGTAACAATTGATTTAACTTTTTAAATATTTTAAACTTCATTTTTTAAAAGGTGGCAACTCTTCTCGAAAAAGTAAAACCTTATTGCACATCTACAGCTTAAGCCATTTAATTTGACATTTTCAAATCGCGCGAAAGGTGCGGATCTGATGGCACTGGTAATTAAATAATTTGAGTGTAATTGTTTAACAGGTGGCAACTCTTTTCAAAAAGGTAAAGCTTTGATGCAAATCTTCAACCCAAGGCATTTAATTTTACACCTCATTTTTGAAAATCGAACGAACGGTGCGGATGTGGTGGCATTTACTATTAAATAATTTGAGCTTAATTTTTTACAGGTGGCAACTCTTTTCGAAAAAGTAAAACCTTATTGCACATCTATGATAGATATGTATGAATAGCTTTCTACTTCTACAACATTTTAAAACTTTACGAATTAAAGTTTATTCGAGCACCTTCCTCCTTTAACTAACTCAATAGTTGTGACTTGTGCATGCTAATTGATTCAAAAACAATTTTTCGCCCATCAAAAAAAAAGAAACTCTACCCACCTTGACATGCTATTCGCACATCCGTCCAAGCATTACTTGCAAATAAATACCTGTACTAAGTATAATTAATGGCATAATCAGCGTACAACTTCTGAATGAGCACATCACCCGCAGCAATCGAATAAAATCTCACGCCCCTGGTTACACGTGCTTGTCGCAAAGTAAAGCCACAAGCAAACAAACATGTTGCACATATCAAACAAACATGGATAGGAAAGTGGCAATGGCAAAGATACAGCAAACAAATCATTCGTGTCCAGCTTGAATATAAACAAAACACTCGCCGTCTTCATTCCTACACTCATCCATCTCGTTGCATTCAAGTGGATTTTAGTTCGTCACGCACACGTGCGCAGCAACAATTAACTTTACAACATACAACCACAGAAAGTGGCAATAAAAGATAAATAATGTACAACAACAACTAACAAATCTTGGCGCCAATCAGTGAATAGACTTAATGAATGAGAAAAATCATTAGTGGGAAGAAAACACGAAAGATTAAGTGAAAGTAAGCACAAAGAAAGGAAACGAAAATCCTAAGAAATAATGAGTAATAGCATGTCTTCT